AGACAAATAAATGACCTGATAAAGGTTTCACGGAACTGCTGGATGCAGCTTGTGTCCAACCAAGTCATTAAGGTAGACCTAATGCTTAGTAATAAACGTCTTAAGGTGATGACGAAATTTTTAACCAGGTAATTAATGAATGTATTGAGTATTCAGTTACTTCATAACTATAAAAGTAATAGTGTTATTATTTTGCCGACTAAAACATTAGCTTAAGGATGATGTGGTTCCAACCTCATTTTAGACGTTTTCAAACTGACCGAATAAGCGTTAAACCTACTTCCTTACTTACTCAAGTTTTATCAGCTGGTGTTAAACATTTCCATTAAGTTTGTGACCTCCTTAATTCAAGTTGTTAGCTTTCATAAATCCTATTAGTCAACTTACATGGTGACTGTTGCTTTGCATGTAGGTCGAATACTTAGAAAATTGTCTACAGCTCGACTTACTCATCTTGTTCCTTGCGGTAAAGAAATGAAAACGTTAAGTACATTTTGGTTTAACTTTAAAATTTACGGCTTCTTTCACTTTATTTTAAATAACGTATCTTGATCGATGATGTCCTGTCTTTTTGTATGCGCTAAAGTTCATCGAAGTTTGTGCGGCGGTTTGGGTGTGTAAGCGCAGTAAACAAACTAACAAACAAACATTATTATCGTGTTTGTTATGGAAAGAAATTACATTGTTTACTGTTATGACAGACTGACGTACAGCTGCCTATTTATAACATTTAAAAAAATGTGTCCGGATTTTGTCATTGACTTTGACCACAGGTTTAAGAAGAGTGGCTTGAATGAGTCTTCACTATTATGCATATTTGCACAAACATTACTATGCAAAGGTCGAAATGATTCAACAGATTTTGTTTAGCACGTTCTCTAGTTGAGTGCCACTCGAACGCGTGGAGTAGTTTTCGGTGGTACTGCAACGCACTCTTATTTACTACTCAAAATATTTAAAAAAATTGGTAGTAATCGATAACGGAATTTTACTAAAATAATTTTATATTTCAGTCAATAAAGTTGTTCAATCTTGATACTGATTTAAAATTTTTTGAGGCAGGTTAATTAATATTTAGCAGTTACCTAGCACACATTGGTAACATTTTAAATTTTTTAAATATCTGTTTTCCTTAAAGTTTTCGTTTGTCATCTGTGTCGCCAGCTATAATTAGCAAAACAAACTAACTGAAAGACTTACCATCAAAATAAATAACGGAAAATCAAAAAACCAAAAACTAATAACAAACAAAAAGTCAAAACTAAAAAGCAAAAAATAACTATTATTAGCACTGAGAGGTTATACCCACCCACTGATAGGTAAAAAGTCGGTGCCATAAGTTCCATACAAAATTATTCTTTAAAACTAAGGTTTTGAAGAATAATAGGTATCTAATTCACAATTTTGTGGACATTAAGTTATATCATTATGATATGAGCTTATGGCACCGACTTCTAACCTATCAGCCGAACATAGTACCTCCTCCTTTTTTTGAAGTCGGTAAATAACCTTTAATCAAAACCGATATTCTATTTTCATTCAAACTAACAAAAGCCCATTTGAACATGCATTCGATAATATTTGAAAAACATGTGTGGCATCGTGATTGGTATAATAACAACACACAGTCGTGGGTCAAAGTCACGTTGCGCCGGCGCCTCGGCCGCCACTCCTCGAGGCACGTACTATTTCCTTATGTGAAAACTGCGCTCACCACGCGCTAATATTAAAATGTTTTGTGAAAGGCCGGACTTTAGAACAACGAATGAGGTATGGAAAGTCACAGATAAGGAGTTTCATTTGAGTCAGAAAAAATTGTGTTTGCATAATAGTCTAATAACTGTTCAACAATTACTGTTCTCTTACTGCACCAATGCCTCTTCTCACAAAATTTTAAACTTGTCATTAGGCCTTTCTTCCTGTTCTCGTGTCTGGAGATCGAAAATGATACTCGTTAGATGTGAAATTATTTTCAGAAGCAAAATGCACATTTGCACGTAGTGGAGGAACCTTGCCTTGTATGAAGCAACAATATCTGCCACAAGCGCACAACACGTGTCACTGGTGCAATTTTGTGTTTTTTATCGTCCATTTTCTTATAAAATAAGGGACTCCAAATTAGTAATAATTGTGTTAGCGCTGTCAACTGGGAGAGTAGGCAGCACAGGCACCTATACAAGTACAATTATTGAGACTGTCCAGAGGAGCAAAAAAAATGTAGGGATCGATCACCTTAACAAAAACTACCGATGCAATAAATACAACAGTCAATAAAACTTGTACAATGTGACACAGCAATTGTATTGTAAGTTAACAAATACCATACAATGAAGGCACACATTAACATCCAACTTTAGAACGGCTCCATATAAGTGTTGAAACATTGTCGATGCCCCCTGAGTCTACCTGTCTGACCTAACACAGAGTATGCTAACTGCCGCATTATAGTACATTACCGTGAACTTATATTTCCTTTAAACGTCAGTTTTCCTGTTTATGAGACACATCCAGACAGATTGTATTCCTTCGTAGGACGTGATTTAATTGACTTCATGTAGTCAGTCTATTTTTGTACCTTAGTAGGTAAATTAATTGATAAATTGCTTAATGTTTTACGTCCTCAAACTTAATTTTAAATTCGAATGGCGGTTTTGCTGGTCCAGATCGCAAGTATGAACGTGGACGGTCTTAACTTTGGTTCTGGAGAGACTGTCTGATTAAAGCAATAGAGGCATAATATCACGCCTATTATCCCCGAAGAGGTAGGCAGAGGTACAAATTACGGCATTTAATGCCACTGTTCAAAGTGACATCCGCTGTTCACTATTTATGTTATGAGTCCCTTGTAATAGGGGGTGAGCCTATTGCCGGGCCCAATTCCAGACTCCGTGCTTTTACTGAGATTTTTTTTTAAAACAATAGGAGAACTTTGCATTTGAAAGAGCCCCAGTATTGGCAATAGTGGCTCTGTCTCTGAATGAACATGAATGAAATTTATACCTATGACTGGTGAAAAGGGTCTAAAAAAACTTTAGAAATACTGATATTGTTCATTTGAATGATCGGGAAATACGTTAGAATGAAACTTTCGCAAAAGTCGAGGAATGATTTGTACTTTTTAGGATCAAACATTAAAAGACAAAATATAAATAAAATAAAAGCGATTGAAGTAGAACCGTTTACAAAGGTATAAACACCTCAATCGCATTAGGTCATTACACAAAGGTAGAAAATGTTGCGGTCTGTGGACGCAGAAAAAATAAGAGTCAGCCATTTTTTTATAATCTTGTACAGGCTGGCTGACTCATTAGCGCTGAATGTTTTATTTACACTATATTACTCACTATCGAGTGTACAATCACTCGATCAACTCTCCTTCATTCGTACTAATAATATTAGCTAACATTTATCATCGTATAAACGTAGCATTCCTCAGGTATACCACAATATGATCACCTGTTTTGCGAAAAAAGGAAACGCGATTGTAATTATAAGAAATGTGATTTATATTGCGAGCAAGTTCCGTTTGATTTATAGGAATTAGATTATTGAGTACATTTCCTTATTAAAAACTAGCGACTCGCCCCGGCTTCGCACGGGTGCAATATGCATGTATTATACATACAAACCTTCCTTAAGAATCACTCTATCTATTAAAAAAAACCGCATCAAAATCCGTTGCGTAGTTTTAAAGATCTAAGCATACATACGGACATACAGCGAAAGCGACTTTGTTTTATACTATGTATTGATAAATCAAGATAAGTTATTGATTCATTTTTCCTTTCCAGGTCAATTGGGGACATAATTTCTATATGACATCAATATTTTTTGTGTAACTTCGCATTGTTGAAAGTGGGTTCCCAAAAATATTTGAATGGCCATTAAGATGAGAATGCAAGGGGTGACCCAATAAAACGTAGGCCTACTTTTAAATTTAACGATTCAATGAGTAATTTCATTCGTCAGAAAAATAGGTTACGATCTATTTTGGACTAGCAAAAAAGGCGATTGTTTACATTATGGTTACTAGTCAATATGCAACCGTCTCATGTCTAGACCAGATGTTATGTTCCAAAACTAACCGCGTCTGGAGCTTACCTAGTTACTGCGTGTCTAGACGGCGTTCTCTACATATAAAACTCCCGTTTAGATAAAAACATGAAATTTTAAAATCGATATTAATTCAATTTTGTATCAAGTTATCACAACAATAAAGTACGATGTTAATTATTTTTGAACTTGGTTACAAGAGGTTTTTGTTTTTTCTTAACGGTAAACTGTGTTAATTAAAAGCACTGAACTGCACTAATAACTTCTTTTGAAACGATGCACAAAGGGCCCTACAGAAGCTGAGTTCCAAAGAAATACAAAACATATTCATCAAGTGTGTATTGAGGTTTTATGTTCATCAGGACATTGTGAGTGAATATGAATATTTTAGACCATTATTGTTTTAAGTGTAGTGTTTTCAGTGCAAAGTTATTAGAAAAGCACTAAATATTGCAATCATATAATAGTTAATATTGGACCTGTGGATGTGTGTATAAGATAAATGGACGAGTTTGAGCTGGGCAGTAAGGAGAGCTCCATTAATGGAACATTTTTACTTACTTTATTACTATACACCTGGGGAGAGTTTTACGGACAGGTTTGCGTAGCTTAATTTTTTGCATTTTGCAAAATTAAATAGCAATATGAAAACGAGTCCCTTTTTAATCAAAATGAATTGCTTCATGCATAAGCAATGAATAGTGCGTCGACAAGAATACAACAAAGCTTCGAACCCTTCATTTGTGAAGATATTTTACACAGCACCGAGGCACACATGAAATAACCGTCGGCGCACTAAACTTCTACAGTCTGATGATACGCACGTTCGATTCGGGCTCTCATCTCTGCCATGCAAAAAGAAAGGGACAGCGAGACGTGACAAATGCCGTGTGTTGTGGCAGCATAACGGAGCCGTTCCGTTGCCCGTCCCAAAGTTTAGTAGTTAGCTCGCGCGTGGTCGCGGTGAACGCGAGCCGAGCGTTCCGCTCATGGACACTGTTGTTTTTCATTTACGATAAACTCGTACTAAATTTGAATTTCCACAGAAACAGTGCGTTAGTTGAATTTTGTACTTACAGTCTGTACGTATGACTAAATAGTAGTGTTTATTTGTATGTTCTATTTATCGATTTTTTGGCAACTCCTTAAAGAATTAACTAGCTTCATCATTTTTGGATACCGATTCATCGGATGTATAAAGTCTCAGTGTGATTTTTAATAAGTTATTAGTGCTTTCAGTGTCAGCTGTGTAAGCTTATTCGCTATCCCTCTCGGTTGAGTCGAAAGGGAAAGGAAGGCCGAGTGTTAAGCAAGCGTTGTTTTGTTTTTTTTTTCACGATTTTCTTTGCTGTATGTAAAGTAGAGCGGATTAAGAAAATGTAAGTTTTGTTTGTTTAGCTTGTTTATTGGGCTTATGTGCTTGTTTTGTTTGAGTCATTACTAACTCATAAATGGTACTAATAATAGAGCATGTGTTTAGTATTTATTTATTTGTGTGTTGTCATGTAGTAGTGCTGAATTAGTATCAGTGTTGTGTTATGATTTATTTGTAGATCACTCTCGGTCATGTGGACGGCTCCAATTAGACTTGAGTTCGTTTATAAATAGTCTCCACTTAGGATCACTTGCACGTTACTTGTGCCAACGTCTCACTAAGCTCCGTCTTATTACTCTTATCTTTTAAAACTTAAGTTTAAGAGCTTTCTAAATATTGTTAAATGTACGGTTAGTTTTAAAGTGTTATGACCGTTAACACTACATTTTGGTAGATTTAATGGTAGACCTTTCCTTATGCATATTGCTTTGGTAACCATATGTCATGTGCTTCCGACAAATGTTACTGAAGAACTTTATTAGGACTGTTGCACTCATTAGGTACCTGACCAGTTTCAGTTTTATTTAAGGGCATTTGCTTTAAATTATAAAATAGTAGGTCATATCAGTTTCATATCGTAATTATTATGAGCTGAAATAAAAGAATATCCGTATTTATTGGACAACATGACCCTAATACCTGTTTCCAACACAATTTTGTTGGTAATATTCCGTCGTAGGTAGTATTACTTCTAATAGCGATTCATAAAGAATTTTATTTAAAAACCATACGGCCAGGTGACCTATCAAATCAATCGATAAAAAGAAAATAATAGATACAAGGCAAAAAATTCAGGCCAATGACCTTTATAGTTCCAAAGGTGTCTGGTATTTATGAATGTATGAAATTGCTCTACCAAGCAGACTGATTCATAATTATAGAAATTACAGACCGATTTTCTTAATTGTTAAAAGCCTTTTTGATACCTCGATGATGTATTGAGACCTAGATCCATCATCGAGACTGACATTTAATTAGATACGAATGAGGTTCTAAGCATTGAGTACAAATATACAATTTATTTTCGTACCACTGAACAACCTTTAATCTATTGCTAATCCATATATCACGAACGCATCCATTCGTTTGACATTAATGACAGTTGAACGTCATTTTGACAGTTAGGCGCCATAATTGTAATTGGGATTATTGATTTGTTTGTTCGTTTGTCACTTTAGTTTTCTCAAATGGCTGGATAGTTATTGAAGTGAAAACAGTTTTGACATTGTTTCTGGAATGCACGGCATTTATAACGATAAACTCATTAGGGCTTGAAATAATTAGAATAACAAATTTAATTTTGGACAACAGTATTTTGCCTATTTATGAATATATTTTACTCGAAATTTTCGTCTCCATTATAAGGATAGAAAGTATCCTGTATTGTATCAATCTACGCCATATGCTAGTGCTATCTATCCATGTACGAGATTTTATCTAAATTTTTTCAGTGTTTTTAGTAGCGCAAGAGAGAGAGAGAGAGAGATACACAGACAATAAACCGATTATTATATTAACTGATTTCAAAGGATTCAAGAATTTAAACATTTACTAAATTCATGACAGCAAATTCCTAAGTCTAATTGGTTGTCCAAAACAATTGAAACTAGTCAAGATATTTACAATTTCAGGAGCACAAAGATTGAATTAGACATTAAATTAAATAGATAATTGCATAGGGTGCCTACAACAAAGACTAATTTTAGAAGCAATCGTGTTTGAAATATCTTCATATAATTGAATTATAGTTAATACATATAGTAATTATTTTACAAATCAAACACAGAGTCTGATTTGGTTGGAGGTTAAGAGATCTGACACCTGAACTTGAGGTCTAAGGATCTTAGAAATAAGGTTTCATATGGGGAATCTTGTTTCACTAATGGGTGTTAAAAATGTTTATTCCCGTATTGGATGCAAGGATGCAAGATACATGGTTACACAATATCGCTTTTCTTTCTCTTTCTAAAAACGTGCATAGCTCTTTATTTGTCACCCGATTTGTTGATGACGCAATCATGGGTGCATATAATAGATTCCATGCTAGTACTAGTAGGTTTGGAAATAGAATAATGGATATATCAAGTGGTATCGCTTAGATATATCCCTGTTTATTACAATTGCTGACCCTTCCTATTTTTTTTATTAGCAATACTACGCCAGTTCTCACGATGAAACTTGGTGAAAAATGTTCAGTTTATCAATTAGATGTTAGAGTACACATAAATATTCATGTACATATTTATTGAAAGTTAATAAGTACTCATATTGCTTAGTAAACCACCGTATGTATGTAAACTTTCCTGTCATCATAACTGTATTACTTTTTCCTATTGCGTCAAATCCTGTGGTCAAGTAGTGGCAAGTGGCATGTAATGTTTGGGTTCCATCATCTTTGTGTGGGCCTTATGACATGCACAACTAAATAGAGGCTTCCCTAAATGCTTTTAAATCGACCGGTTTTACTGGATAGAGGCTTACCTAACCTACCCTAACCTTATTGCTTATGGCTTTATTAATCCAAAATTCTTAATATACCATGGAACATGAAAAATTGACGATAGATTCGCCACCAATGCAAGCGAGCAACAACACGATTGTCTTTTGTTAGCATCATGATTTGAGATGACGTACTTGTGAATTTTAATTACTTCCTGACCTACATTTAGAATGCTAATTGCCTGTCTACTGGTGTTAATTTTCTGTTAAACAATCCGAAAAGTACCATCAACTGTGACATGACAATAAATATGGGTATCAAGATAAATTTTATAAATATTTATATTAGGTATATTTTAAATATTTCATTTAAAATACATATCTGATCAACAAACTCAATTTAGTTTTCCTTTAGAATATTGCGAGTTTCATCAAAATCATTGAAGTCGTTCCTGACAATAGAATTATTATATTATTATTTAATGACTTCTGCCTACGACTTCGTACGCGCAATCCTGTTTTCTCCCGTTCCCGTAGGATTTTCAGGAGGTTTTTCTGTCATAAGAACCTTCTCCCGACAATAACAAACAGAACAAAAAACAATCAGCCAAATTGGTCTAGCCGTTCTTAAGTTATGGCGTGACAATGGGAAACGGGTTTAATTTTTATATATATAGATTTATTAGTTTATAGTCTTAGCATTTGTGGCATGGTCATAGTTGGTAGGTACCTAAGTGCACTGCACAAACATTAGTTACTCAACTAATTATTGGGAAATACGCAAAGAAAATTATTGGGAACATATATATAATTGAAAATAACCTATTAAGGAAAAGTTTACTATAATTGCTGACTCAATTAATTTATTGAAGTCCTATGGGTATTGGAATACAACAATATAGGTCTCTGTCCAATTATATTTAATGTATTAAGTTCTTATTCAGTGCACTTGCTTGGATAACTATCGTTCTTTGTAAGTCTATAATTACAATCACCTATGTGATTCTATTCAGCCAATTGTTATTAAAGTTCGAATTGTATCTCACTCGACTATGAACTAAACGAAAGCACCAGCTCTACGATCTCCGTTTATTTATACAAAGTGTTTACAAACAATGTAATATATCTACTTGTTATATAATTATAAATGAAGATTTATGCTAAGGGCGCAGGTGTTATCTCAGAAATATAATTAAATACTAACTTTCTCTTCATTTATCAACGCACACTGACCAGTACATCAGTCAATATTAAGTCTCTGTGAGAGCTTGCCTTATCTGGATTTCCTGTTTTCAATGTTACTGTATAGAGCTACGAGTTCATGATCTCATATGGTCCTGTCCACGTTTATTTAATGCCTGAGTCCGATGCTATGGAATCTAATTAACGCACAATGTCAACAACATTACTAATGAAAAATACACAAAAAAACTTTGCACACAACGCGCAAAGAATTTCTTTGTACTGTAACTTATCTCATTAAATTATCAAATATCTTTCTTTTGTTTCAGAAATCGCTTCGATATCTTGTGCCCACAAGAATATTATAAGTACAAAACAAACACAGCGCATCGCCCACGTAGCGAGATAACAGAGCATCCCGTCCACAGAGAAATTAATAATCTGGAACACGGTAACAGGAAGCATGTCGATAAAGTGCTCCATGCTATAACAGTGCTGATGAGAGAACTGCTCGAAACTGCCGGCACTCTAATATGGTTAGCTGACACCCGCGAACTACCCGCTGTTGTTGCCACCATGTTGTCTGACTCCCCGACACACTACAAACGCGACACGTCCGCACATCACTCTCACAGAAGTTCAAAACTCACTATCTCTGCGATACCCTCATCCAACATGGATCACATCACTGAAGGCGCTGCACCGAGCGCAACGAACAATAGCTCACAAACGTCTTGTGTAGGAACTAACGTGGATAGAGTGGCACACGACAATCATTCCAATGATAATTTAGACAAAGTTCACAAAATGACTGACTTAGATAGATGTAGGATACTAAATAAAAAGAAATTAGAATGCCAACATGAGTCTGAAAGACGATGCCCTGCCACAGATAGAGTCCATGAACGATGCGTATTGCATAACAAAGAAGACGTATACGGAAAAGAATCGATTATCAGAAAGAGGGTTGAGGTTGACGAATGCGGTGGTTCAAGGCGGGCCGCTAATTTGAAATTTAAATGTAGTCGCAATGCACGGGAGTGGATGGGAGCGATCGGGAGGACAATGGGCGTTCGCGTTCACGTGCGTGCCATAGTCGTCGTGGGGTTGTTCCTGGCCATATTAGCGACGAGTGCAGCGGCGCCGAGGTCCCGGCCCACGCGCAGCGCGCACGAGAAATCTGCGGTAAGTTTTATACAAATATTTTATCACAGTCACTGTAATCCAATATACTAGCTGCTAATTTAAATATGAAACTACAACCAATTTTGAATCAGTCCTCTGGCGTAGAATATGTAAGAAGATACCTCCATCCTAGCTCATGAATACTAAATAGTATAAGTTACGTGTATCCTGAGGACTTATAAACTTGAATCCTGTTCCAAGCACCGGAAACGTGCTGCTTATTATACTGGCATTGTCTGCGTTATCTGAATCTGTCTGATTTAGCAGACAATGTCTTTCTTTACACAGCCATTTTTGAGCACTCGTCCAGATTTGTGTGAAATCTTTTCATACGAAACAAAAGCAGTTGGAAGGCACTGCCGTTTTAGTAAATGGCCTTTGTTTACACAGGCAAATTTAATCTCTAAAGCTGAGCGACTCATACTACATCGTTTAGGATAAGTACGATTATTTAATAAAACATAAGGACGATATCAATATCTATTCTATACCATAGAATGTCGGTCATTCAGGTAGATCATATTAATTTTATTATTCATAACATATTCGCATGTAGTTATTTAATACAAACGTGAAGTTATGTAAGTCGTCATAGATATCAGGAAGCTTGGAATGAAGGTCTCCCTTTTACCCGTGGAATGTTTGATTCTCCCTTAAACGGACCGTTATCCACTGACGGATTAACGACCATTTGAAGGCGTATTTCTACTGAGTGCAAGTAATATGGGGACAAAAAGCTGGCGTGTCGTATTAGATTACTGGCAGTGACAGACGGACGGACCGTTTGGGAGGAGATTAATGGGCTAAGTGACGAGTGGGAGGCATGCCTCTAGTCCTCCGCGAGTCGGGAAGACATCCCGCTCATTTATTTCGTGGACCGTTACAAATAGTGAAAAATTCGACTAATTTTATTGGTACCATGCGACAGCTAGTCCTGACATGGGTTCAGACTCCACTCTATTATCAAATGTATTAAAACGATTAAATATTTGTGAATACAAACAAATAGAATTTTTATAGCTTTTCCACTTTAGATCTTCTTTATATAATCAAATACAAAAATAATACACAACAGATTAAATTAGTTACTTCGAACGGGATGAGTTCAATCAGATGTGAACCCGATTTAATTACAGTTTAAACACAGCGTGACCGCGATGTTAACGGCTTCCTGCGCAAGCGCATATAGGCCGTGTTTGTGTAAAACAAATTTAGTTATGCAAGTGATAACTGGTCAATAGGATTAGAGAGTATTTAGAAAATGGAGGGACAAGACAGCAAGAACTGCATTAAATGTTCATAAATACAGAAGTAATAGAAACCGAAAGCTCTCACTCCTTAAAAAATACTCAGGTTATACGATAATAACGATTGTATACTTGTAGAATTTCTGCAGTATTATTAGGTGAAACGACGTAAATTTGTAGCATAAGTTGGAACTCCATTCGGTCTATTCTACGTGACTTTGTGCCTGTGTGTATCGCAGGAAAACTGAGTTGCACTTAGTAGCACGTAATCCTCATGGATATTTCCATAACATGTTATTATTTATTATTTGTTAATATACCATTAGTGGTATTTACCAGGTTATTTCACATGAATAGATAGAAAATAAATTTATACCCGAGATAATGTTGATATGACCACTGTCCAGTACTTTATGCTTTATTAAGTATCAACATTCATCAATCAAGTTTGCACGCATATCGGAAACCTTTGTTGGATAAGAGACTTCAGACTTTTAATGGGTATATAAATCAGAAAACATAACATGGATACAATAATGTATTTAGTTCTCAAAATGCTGTTTATTATATTGAGGAAGTCGCCCGCAGATATGTCGACCCTTCAAATGACGGTACGGTTAATTCTTTAGTAACAATTCTTGTGACATTTTCTAGGTGATTTTAATGACAATACATATTAACTACTTAAGTACTGTACTACATTTACCTATGACTGTGCCCACGTAAAAAACTTTTTTTAGGCTAGGTTTTTCTCCTGTGTTGTGAATGTGTTAACAGACATAAGTATAATTTGACATACAAAAGACACCCAGACCCGAAACAACAACTTGTGGAACACAAAGAGTTGCTCCGTGCGGGAATCCAACCCGTGACACGTTGCATGGCAGTTGCAATTGCGACCACTCGGCAGTCTAGCAAGTAATAAAACATTTTTACTAAATGACAGATTTACTTAGTACCTACATCGTAGCAGTTTGTTAGTAAAGTGCAATCGGAATTGCACTTACCAAGCAGTTTGTCAGTTGTGTGGGAGGATCGAGTATTGTCCATGCAATCTAGGCACGTCACTACATCGTAGCTGGTGGCTGGTGGTGAAAACCGGCTCGTCCGTAGCCGTAGCACAAAGCTACTGAGCACTATATACCGGGTTCAATTTTTGTAATGAATGTAAACATGATTGTGTTTCGAATTTTCAACGTAATTGTCTTAAACATAATTATGTAAAAGTCTTACTATACATATGTATTATAACGATTTAATAGTAAACCATTTAAAAAAGTATTTTCAAAAAGGTATAAATATTCTATCCATAAATAAAATGTTTCAAACAATTTGTTTTATTAATATTATAATTATATTTAATTGATATAACTTTATAGACAGACTAATTACCGTCCTTCAGTTTTACACAGGTCGTTATACAACGATACTATTAAATTAGTAATTTACAGGATAATTGGAAAAGAATTCACGATAAATAATTATTTATATTGAATATGGAATATTAATTATAATAATCCTTTTGTCTAGTCAAAATTAAACTTAGATCCAAACAGGACAATTGGTACTACAAAAGTAGTCACAGGACAGCTAATAATGCACGCATGTGTAATTTCATTAAGGTTATAATAATAATTAGTAATACGTCTAGTACCTAACCATATATTTGTGCAAAATAAACTTTTCGATTGCTGTTCAATTGTGTAGAATTTATAAGATATCTCTCACGTAGATCCCTGATCTTATTGACATATTAAAAAACACCCTGTTATTTAAAAATAACCTTTTCAATATTGATACTATTTCTAACATATATGTGAAACATACAAAAAATGACCTACACATTACTAAAAAAGAAACATGCGAATTATAAGAAAAGGGGGTCACTTTTTATGTACAAAGTAACAGTACGTAAGCACAAGCCTTTTTAACACTTAAGTACATCCGTACTTGGACTAACTACTACTTCATACTAAAAACCTGTTCGAATCACACATGTCGTATGACAAATAAGTACCAATAAATATTTAAATCTAATCAATATCACTGTGGTTATTAGGTTCACATTAATCTGGCACAATCCTGGACAGATTCATTTTATGCACTAAACAGTGACCAGCAGGTCAACCTACACTTTTTTGTCTAATGTCTTTATACGATTTTCCACTTTTATCGCTTTAATATAAGGTTGAAAATCCAGTGGTAATAATGACAAATGGAGCACCTTGATTTGCTGCGAACTGTACCTCTAGTCTAGTAAAGACTGAAATACGCGTGTGTGGGTGACGTACTATGAAACAAAAGGTGTCTGGGCCCGGTCGGCACAGGCTATACACTATACAGCCAGTAAATGCCTTGCAAACTGCACGGGATCTGCATTGTCTGTCTTCCCTTGCGTTATACGGCAGACCACTTTACTTAGATGTCTGCACCTGCCTCTACTTGTACATCTAAGTCATGAATATTTTGGTGAGAGAGTGTCTACGTAGCTATAGTATATCAAAGGAAATAAATATGTAGTTTAGTTAAAAGGTTGCTGTTTCAAGTATCTAATATTCGTTTTATTGCAAAGATGATGTCATATATTTCTTTTACAGAGGAATCAAACTCGCATGTCTCAAAATCACGACCTTAATCTCACCATAACATATCCTACGAACTCAAAATTAACAGATCTAATAATGTATTCCTAAGTTCATAACAACAAATCAAGGTTTATAGCGTCCATGAATAGCTTAGTATTGTTTTACGTTAATTAATAATTCCTTGCTACAGTGTAAGGACAGAAATCCAGTAACGCAAAACGAGGTTACCATATTTCGTGGCTCACAATGTAATACCTATCTATATTAGAGACATATATGTATGGTACTTTTAATGCTGTTTAAATGACCGACATTGTATGATATTTAGCCGAAATGAGGTCACATCTGACTCTAACATGCGGCGCTAACATTGATCTAAGTGATAAATGGACATAAATTCACACATCTTCTCGAATTACAACGAAACTTTAAACTATTGCTAAAAATACTTACAGATAAATGTTTAAGCATTGGTTTTCCTGTTATTATCGGTCATCTTAAGAAAAAAGATTGAACAAAAAGAGATTTGCGCCCAACGTGGGGCTCGAACCCACGACCCTGAGATTAAGAGTCTCATGCTCTACCGACTGAGCTAGCCGGGCTTGGTTAGTCTCGTCGAAATAGTCCACCACTTTTATCCAACCCCCTAATTATAGATCATGTTCTCGATTTTACAATTATTATATTTTAAAACATAAAATTATACTTTTTTCTGAATTAGCGATAGAGATCCAATTTAATGAGTTTGTTCTATGACAAAGTTAATTTACTAAACAATACGAGTGAAAATTTAACGTGAGTCATAATTAGATTGAAACTGCGCTGGAGGCCATCGGTATTGACCTAAATATTCATTCCGCTATCTATAGCATCCTATTCGACACATTGTTTCGACAAAATCTCGCTCCATACTGTCTGCAATTTATCAACCTAATTTATGATAGAATTATTCACTAAGTTTATTATGTTAGAACATTTTAGGAACACGCCCAGATCTCATCAGCCTTGTACAGTGTTTAAAAATGGAATTTAGTATTTATTTTACTGACCAGTATCATTTTTAGACTTATAAGATGTCTGTATGTCCTATATATTGTAGGTAATTACTTATTTACTTTATTCGTTATAGCTACGTTTCCATAGCAACAGCTAAACTTTCACAACGTAA